AATATCTATACGATACTTTTAAGTTACACTTGCTTCGATAAGCGATAGTATTTAAAGTTTATTCATAATTTTACGATTCATTTATACGTCTAAATCAACGAAGAAATTTTGAATAACAACCTTTTTAAAATTTAAAGATCAGGGCCTTTCATACGTCTGTTTTTATCCTGACCTGGTAAGAGACAATCAGACACTTCGGTTTGCATATATACAGATAGATGCTATAGCTTGATCTCCTTAATCCCTCACACTCATTCGTTGCTAAACTTCTAAAATTTTTAACCTTTGATTCAGTACAGTGAAAACACATACATAGCTTCTATTTGTTTTATTCTTATGCCATGCGACATATTCACCAATCATTTTTCTTGAATTTTAATAGAATTTTATTAATGAAAAAATTTCTTTTCTATTCCTTCTTTTAAAGCACATCTTGGCATTTGTTAAGAGCAGCTTTGTTTTGCAAAAAAGAAAAAAGTACATCGTCATTCTATAAAATTTCAATTGCAACTCATTATCACTTTTTTATATGGCCTGAAAATAAGATATAAAATATACGTGAGTATCTATTTGATGATTTCCATTTATTATATTCGGTTTAAGTTGACAATTATATAAATTTCTAATAAAATTAAACACCGGACATTTTAGTTAAAAATTTATATTTTTCTTCTTTCATTTCTGCACGAAGAAAAAGTAAAAGAAAACGAATGGATCTTATGAAGTCTTTTTTACATTACATTTCTTCATGGATTAAGTACCGTGTGATTGTTATTCTTTCAAAACCATATACGTTTAAAGTAGTAAAAAGAAAAACAAAAGTTTCCTCAGTGACCGAAAGCTAAATTGAATGACAAAAAAATTTTTTGATTCTTAATTTTCTAATTTTAATATAGAATAAATAAGATTGCATTCATTCTATCTGTTTCCTATTATTAGTTAGAAAACTAGAAAACTTCAGGGCCATTAAAAAATAAATTACATTGTAATTTATATGACAAATAAAAGTATATATTTAATAATCGGTCGTGAGAAAATAGAATCTTTTTGTCACGCGTAGAAATGGTGACACCTATATAAATATATATATATATATGAGTGATAGTCGCAGCTATTTTACCGTTGTATCCCCGAAACAAAAATGTTTATAAGTGAGGTTCTGCTCGACCGATTTTAATAATTTTGTTTTGTTTTATTGGTCTATATATGGACATTCACTTCTCAAAAAATTAAGTTTTTATCTGTCTTAGTTTACGAGATATCGATGCAAAAGTACCAAAAATCCAGTTTTTCACAACATATACCGATGAAAAACGCTTTTTTTCGAAATCTAGTTTTGGCTTTTGTAAACTATTATTTAATCAAAATTTGTAGCACTCGGCATGAACTTTCAGAATACTTCCTCAGTATTTGTTTAAAATGAGTTTTTATAAGTAGAAATCATTGATAGAAGAGATGAAGACATTTCTTATTTTCGTGTAGAGCGACATTAAAATGATTGCTTTGTCATTTTACGAAATTCGTTTGGGACGAATTTGATTCAGGATGAAAGAGGAAGCAAGGGAAAATAATTTGACAGTTAAACGATATTATTCTTTGAGGTCTTATCATTATAGAAAATCACTCAAACTACTAGGAAACACGGTTTTCACACAAAATGTAGAACGATATTGACTGTTAGGATTATACGTATTAACTGATTGATTTATGGAGGCAGTAAGTTGAGACTGGGTGTGTATCGATAACAGTTTTATAATGCTAACACTTTTCCATGTCTATCCTATCGAAAATAGAATAAAAGATATGTCACAAAATTTTTCATTAATATATGCAAAATAAAAATACTCATGATTCATTACGGGCATAATCAACGAGAAAGAGAAAGAAACAGAGCATTCACTCATATCATCATAGTCTCACGACACCTAACAAAGCGAATCTTGTCGATATCTCAACAGTTAAATATATTTAGTAAACATTTTTTGAGAGATTTTCAATAACATTGTTTTTTTTAAAACAAAAGCTATTTATCACTATTCTGACTTATAGTTGCGGATCTCCACGGTTTCACGAGAAAGTGTAGGGAAACTATTATTTTAATGAACACTTTAGGTCACTCTATCAAACGCAACATTCAGCTCCTTCAGATTATAAAATTTATTTTTCTCGATTTTTTTCATCGAACGGTACAATGGCTGCGATGATCACTCATATATATATTATGTAAATTTTTGTTTTAGACATGGATTTTCCTCGACGTCATCGATCAACATACCTTTTTTTAATAATATTTCCTTATTTATATATCATATATTCTTATTTTTTTAATTCATCATCAACTGAACAATTTCAACGAAATTACTTATTAAAACCAGAAGATACTGGACGAGTTTTAATTATCTATGTTTGGGCTGATACAGATATACAATCACTTGGTAATTTACAATTTTTTATTCGTTATGGTGTTCATGTATCACAACAAGCTGATTATTATTTTATTTTACAAGAAGTTAATAAACGACCAGTGAATATATCAAGTTTACCAAAACTTCCACCCAATGCACATTATATTGAACATGTAAATGAATGTTTCGATTTTGGTACATTTGGATGGTTTTTATCAAAAAAAAGCGTGAATTTAAAATTATATAAATATTTTATTTTTATGAACGCATCAATACGTGGACCATTTCTTGTGGCTTATTTTGATGATGAATCAAGTTGGTGGTATAATATATATACGAAACGTTTAAATGACGAAGTAAAACTTGTTGGTTCAACTATAAATTGTGAACATAAACCACATGTACAAAGTTATATATTGGTTACTGATCATGTTGGTTTAGCTATATTAACAAATCCTACTAAAGGAGTATTTAGTTGTAAAAAAAGATTATACAGATGCTGTTTTTAATGGTGAAATAGGTGCAAGTCAATTGATTCTTCATGCTAATTATCAAATAGCATCATTACAAGTTAAATATCAAGGTTATGATTTTCGTAAGAGAGAAAATCAAAAGTGTAATTATGAAAAAAGTCCAATATTTATTGATAAATCTGTTGATACTATAACTCACGATCCATTTGAACTTGTTTTTGTTAAATATAGAGGACCATCGACGAGTTTTGATTCAGATCTTGAACGACGTGCATTTATCTATCAACGATGGCTAAAAGAACAGCCGCCAAAACAAGAACCTAAAAAAGTGATTGTTTAATTCAAATGTTGAATATTACCGTTTGTTTTTCTGTATGAAATGTGATATATTTATAAATTATTTACAAGAAATTTCGTATGATTTTTCTATTCTATCGGAATAATATCTTAATGTTACATATTTAATTGAATTATACGTCCACAATAGTTCATTATTATTTATTGGTAATTATTATCAACAGATGGACTTGTATTTGTACAATCATAGGTTTTTTTTAAGTTCTATCATCGTCAATCTGTCTTTTCTTTAATGTAACAAAATTGTGCATTTTCAATCTTATTTAGCATATGCATTGATTAAGTTACATGTAAGTTTTTATTTTTTCATAGAAGAGTTTTACTTTATGACCCATTTGTTTTAGTAACATGTATGTTTTGATAATTATTTTCTGTTTAATTAGATTTCTTTACTTGAGTATTTCCCATATGTTGGTAACTTTTTTAAATATAGAATTCTTTTTAAATTATTTTAGCTATTTATTATTTATTAGATATTCTGATTGTAAAGCATTACATCTATCAATTTAATGACACATATATGACGATAACTTTACTACGTATATACTTCTATTTACTTTTTGTTCCTTCTATAAGGATTAGTCATAAATAACAGTATGATAAACAACTGAGATATCTCTATTTCTGCCCTATCGAATGGACTGATGTTTTTGGTAAGTGATAGAAGTTTATTTAAAGATTTCTTTTTGATATGGATAATAATTTCAATAAATATTCCTATCAAATTAATAAAATATGCAAGAAATTCGATATCAACATAAATAAATGTAGTAAGAAAAATCAACAAAATATGTCTGCTAATTATTGAAAATAGACTGAAATATACATAAACATAGATTAATAAATATGTAATTCTGTAAGAAAAATTATTAGTCGATAGAATTCTTGCTAGAATTATAATATAATTCATATATCAATATGTTGCCTAGCCTTTAAATCGATTTCGTGTATTGAAATGAATGAATTCGATCTGATTCCGTCAGATTTATGGATCAGATCATATATCATGAATATTTAGTTTGTAATTAATAAATAAGCAATATATTTTGTCTGCTTCGTTGTTGTATGTCATAATCTCTATAGACAATTTTTATTCGTTACTAAAAAGAATACGAAATATTAACAAAAAATAATATTAATCAAAAGGTAGCTGATTTAAATGTCAATAGTTTCGAATTTTCATTTATAAAACACTCATAGGTCAACATCTGAAGTGATTATGTCAATCATCAAAGGATAATTTATGCGAACTATTTTGAAAATTTTGCTTTTTAATATGTAATTAAAATATTGGTATGAAAAGATTTGATTTGTTTTTTTTTAATCGTATCATTACCTCCAAATCGTTCTGTATATCCAAAGAAGAGAAAAACTGAAAAACAAAATTGTTTCTTGTATAAGCGGAATATAACAATTAAAGCAAACAAAATATAAATAAAAAGAACACTCTTTTTTGTTTTAATAAAACTTTTGTTTTTTTATATTGCGTGATGACAAATAACAGAGAGAGAGAGAGAGAAAAGCGACAATAGCGCACACAAGATTAAGAATAATGTATATAATTTAATAATCATTTTAAACAGAAGAAAGAAAGAAAAAGATCATTTTATACAACGACAGAAGAAAAAAAGATCACAAATGACACAAACATGTTGCTGCTTGGTTGTTATTATTAATAATATTTAAGAATAAATAAGCATAGAGAAAAGAAGAAGAAGAAAAAAAAAGGAAATCACAAATAAGCAGCAAAAGAAAAAAATTGAATTTAACTTTCATTGAATGATGTTGATTCATGTGTATATGATATACTACTAGGAGAAGAAGAAGAAGAAGAATTTGGTAACCATCGTGCCTTGTGATCGTTAAGACCAAAACCAGCTGAATAATTTCCTTTTATAGCAAATAATTGAAGAAAATGGGGTTTACAATAAATTTGTCCATCGTTCGCTGTATAATTGCCAAGTCTAAAATTACAATGATTGTTTAACAAATGTTTTTTAGAAAATTATTTAATAGGGAAAACATGCTCTTGAATAAAACACTGCAAACGGTAGAAAAAAATAGCAAACGCTGCCTACGATTGATTGTTAAATAGATTGAATATTTGTAATTCTTTTTTTCTCTTCTAAAATCATATAGAAAAATGTAGATTTGTGTATATTTATACTCACTTCAATATAGATTTGCAATGCATACATTTAAAACAGGCTTTGTGATAAACTTTTTTATCTGCTTCAATCTTTAAAGAAAAAAAAAATATTGAAATAAATATTGAAAAAATAATTCGATTTCTATACTTTTTCCATTGCATAAACTGTTTTATTACAAACAGAACATTTATTTGGATCAACAGCTGGTTCAACAGTAACTTGTTTAGGTGCAGGTGTATCCTAAAAAGAATTTTCGTTTTATATATATTCAAAAACAAAAAACGAATATTTTTTCTACATACAACAAATCGTTTAGGTGTAATTTTAATTTTTGCTGAAGCTGTTTCAACTTTAAGTGCATCTTTTTCATATTCGGCAAAACGATTTTTTAATGATTGAGCTTGACCTTTCGTTGGAACAATTTCTTCATTATTGTTATATTGTTCTGTTATAGCATTTGAAATACTAGTTGTATCAGGCGATGTTATTGATTTTCTATAATAATAATTTCAATGAAATTCAACTCTTATTTCTCTAGAGTTATTTACCTTCGAACACCTTCTGGTGGTGGTGTAATTTGTTTTAAGGTCTTTCTTGCACTAGTTGCATTACTTTGTTCAGCCGTTTGCATAAGTCTTTAACGAAATAATACAATTCATTTATATATTTTCATATTATAAGATTTGAAAAAAAAAACCAAAGCAAAGCATTTGTTGAATCAAGGGTAAAGGTACGAGCTAGAACCTACTCATCATCATCATCATCATCATTATTACTATTCGTGCTCCATAAATCATGCACAACAGAGATGAGACTCTCCACACCAACATGCTCTTCATCACTATATAACATAACATGCATTTTTATTCAAAAAAAGAACGAGATGTGCAAGATCACATTAAGATAAATTAAACTATATACCTTTCTCGAACAGCTCTTGCATGACCTGATTCAATATTAGCTTTATCATCTGCATAGCCTGGTTTCCGAGAAGTAGAATCATCCTGTATATATTAAAAAATAAAATAATAATAATCAAAATAATACATGATTAATATTACATCATCGGGCATTGATAAACGTCGTTCGTTATCAAGTGGTGGTGTTATCGCACGTGGTCCACGTCTTTCAGGTGGTGGTGTGTTCTCTTTATCCATTGTTTTCCACATTTCGACAATATTCTTTGCGTTACCTATGATTATAAATATATGTATTTAATAATCTTTTTTTTTTCATTCTCTCAGTAGGTGTATACTGAGATAAATGATAATAATTTTATTTGATTATATACCTTGTTGAAGTATTTCAGCGTCACGTAGAACTTGAGCGTCAGGTGTATCACGTTCTGGTGTTATCTGTTTTGTTTTCCACTGTTCAACGAGATTTTTTGTTTGACCCTTTTCAAAATATATCTCTTCACGTTTATCAGTTTCACGTACAATGTTCCCGTTCTCCTATATATAAATATTAGAAAAATGGCATACAGCATAAAAGAATATAAAGGAGAAGAAGAAAAAAAATATATATATATATTCCGACAGCAAGAGAAGAAAGAGAAAAAAGAGCGTGAATCAAACACAACATATGTCTCCTTCGTGTAAGACACGTTTTGATAATAAAGAAAAGAAAGAAAGAAAGAAAGAAATCAGTACAATCTATCCATATGTTTGAAAGTGCATATGAATAGAAACAAAAAAAAATCAATCGAGATCAATATTTTCAAGTCAACAAATAACACCATTTGATTACTCATAATTTTCATATATTTATTTCTCTGACTTCTGTATGACATCTAGACTCCTTCCACTGTTCTGATTTATATATATGCGTGTTCAATCAAATGTCTGTATTCTCGATGGTGTAGTCAGTCAATGTATTTCTTTCTAACAAACGACAACGAAAGAACAATAAATTCTTTATATTCGATACCTTTTTACGTTACTTTAATAAAGCAAAGAAGAAAAAAAAAATGAAATACGAATAGATAATGGATATATGAACGGACACATGCACTCGCCTGCTACCGATTGAAGGTTACTCACTTTTTCTTTTTCTTTTTCTTTCATTTTTTCTTATGCAACTATACTCATTTCTTCTAATTATCTAGTTCAGTGATCGAATACAATATGTGAAATGCGTATCGATCACTCGATAGATCTGAAAGTTGACTTCATCAATAAGGCAATCTGTCTATCATATACATACGTGAGTGTGTGTGTGTGTGTGTCGTATGAACGAAACGTATATTTAAACTCACTCATTTTTTTTTCTTCTTCGCTATATCATTTTGTTCTTTCTATTTGATATATAGAAAAAAAAAGTAAATTATGTATAAAATACGTATCATTTATACCAATGAACAAATAAGCACACCTCTTCGAATGTTTAGCGTGTCAATAAAAGATACTATTTACATGATAGACGAACAAATAGTTTCTATTAGAGATATAGAATATATAACTAGTATTATAAAGTTATAAAAGTGATTCCCCATTATCATGCAAATATGTTTTTTGTTAAACTATCTACCATAAAATAATATGCACAAAATCTATTCTTTAGATTAGAGAATATGTTTGTGTGCATATTATAGTGAAAAGGCATAAGAATAATTAAAAAAGCATTGAGTTAAATTTTATTTTAGATCAATATTATTAATTATTGCCACAGTGCATTGAGAGAAAGAGGAAAAAAAGCAGTGTTATGAAAGAAAAAAAATAAAATTAAAGATAGAAATAGAAAAATAATCAAAGATTATAAGCATTTGTCTACTTGTAGCAGTATATACCAGATACACACACAAATACATAATAAATGCACACATTTGAAGTTATAACATATATTGATGGGTATTCACACACACACACGCTCACAAAATCAATTGTTTTTAAAAAAATAATATATTTATATATATATTAAAATAGACAAAAAGAATATATATACACAATCAGTGTACCTCACCGGAAGTGGTAGAGACAACATTTTTGTCGGTATCGTTTGATTTTATCTTCAGTCTTACACTCATGTTGACAAGCGTGTCAGAAAATTCGACACGCTAAAAAGAAAATAACAGAGGACAATGTTATATACATATATATATATATATATGTGTGTGTATCTGGATATACGCATATTAAATCTGATTATCTATATAATTTGTATTTATTTTTTAAGCAATCCCATCTAGGTTAGTAGTAGTTTATTTTCAGAATCAATAAGAAGAATCCCACTAACAAAAAAGATGAAAACCTACGATTAATTGACTTTTTTTTCTTAGAATCGAACCATTTATTGGTTGGCACACATTTACGTGCCAACGAAAATCCTTTTTTTTATATGAAGAAAAATAATTGCTCGATTAAGATATGTCAATAAGGAAAAAAAA